CCATGTAAAACCAAATAGGCAAAAATTGAATAAAAAATATGAAAAATTAATTGCTTGGTCTTCAAATGAATTAGGAGGAAAAGTGACTAATGTAGCCAAATACATAGTCCATATAAATTATATAATTAGTAGTAAATACCTAAATTCTACAATGAAATTTACAAAATATAGTAGTTTCATTTCCATATGTTAGAAAACAAAGGCCAAAATAAAATGTAGTGTATTACTATAAGTAAATAAAGTTTTGAAAATTCCTAACTCTCAAATAGAAGAAAACTACCACATTGACCTTATAGATCCAAATTATAACAATCTATCTATAAAAAGATACAAGGAAAAATAAATAACGAATCCAATATGGATAGAAATAGATATGGGAAAAGATAAATATATAGAATTCAATCAACATTCAAACTAGATTTCACTACGGTAAAAAAAGAAGAAGAAATTGTAGGATCAAGGATACTGACTAGACGAGGTGAACAAGCGGTCTAGGAAATAGGAATGTCATAGGTAGCAGGCCTGAGATCGGTCAATTGATTCTATGATACAGATGTGTGGAAAGCTCATGAACAATACAATGGTTATTGTTCAGGTTTTTTCTTCACGAGAAACTGGTCACCGGTGGAAACAAATGGGCAGTGTGTAGTGCGATAGAATGACATAGGTAGCTAGCTGGCCTAAAATCGGTACCACACTGAAAATAATCTAAAATTCAAATTTACAAAGGGGCTAGAAATTAAATAATTCGTGCGAGACTTAGTTTTACCTATGAATGGTGATCACCAAGGTCCAATGGGAACTAAAGGCCACCTTGATCTGGTCAACCAACTAGAGGGGTGTCGTGACAAATATAGCGACATGCAGTTACGAACAGTTTTGTTTAATCGTCTTGTCCCAACTCCCAGGCTGCACAAAATATGTATGGAGCGAGTCGTGGGGGGCCAACCAAGAGGGTGGGAAACTGCGACGGAAAACCACAAATCCATAGGTCCTTTGAGCACCCAAACTGGCGGCTGCCGCCTTCCGGTTGCCACTTGCGACGAACGATCGAATAACAGTGAAGAACTGAACGGCCTTGATCGCGATGCTCGCGACTGTAAAAGAAGTGTTTAGCGCCCCCCAACCCCCAGATGGGAGTAATTGGCACGGAGACCACAGACCAGCTGCAGATGATCGATGTGATGCGCTGCGCACTTGCAACCGGCCGCGCCGGGACAAGTTGGCAAGTTGCTCGTGCAGCGGGCGATCCGGGCTCCGGAGGCGGAGGCCCAAGAGGCCAAGACCAAGTGGAGGCGCTCGCGGCATCAGCATACCTGGCAGCTCACGGGCCACGAGCTGCACGAGCAAGTGGCACGGCCGGCACCCGGCAGGCGGGACGGGAGCGCCAAAGCCAAGTATTTATTGGAAGGAATTGGAAAGCTCAATCGTGGATTCGTGGCGCGCAGCCAGCCCACGAACGGGTAGCTCAGATGTGGCCACGTACGCACGTACGTATACCAAGGTAACAAGTCAAGGTGCGCGCCGAGCTGGAAGCCGAGTTCAGAACTGACAATGCAAGTTGCACGAACGTACGTACTAGCCTTTGCTTTTGCTCAAAGTCGTCTAGCTCCTCAGTTGGAAAAGCAAGACATTTTATAATTGTTTTTTTGGGGAAAGTCAACTAGCTCGATCGAGCTCAGATTGTGTCTGGTTCGAGAGCTCGTATATAGGCAGCGTGGTCAGCTTCGGGAGTTGACAAATGACTGCCTTGCCTTTTATTGAAACCTGGAAGTCGTGGTTGAGTACCAAATAAAAAGAAAGTCAGCTAAGCTTCAGCTGTACTGGAGTGTATAGTATTATTACCTGTGCTAGCGTGCCGACCTGGAGCTGGATCTCCTTTTCTTCTTGTACCAACTTTACTTATTACTTGATTGATTCAGCAAAACCCAACACTCTCGGCCTTCCAGTTCCACGATCCAAACCCATCGTCAAGTCTTCGCTGTGTGCATGTGTACGACCGAGAGAGCAAGCAGGTAGGCAGGCAAATGCGGCGACCTCCATGTACTCGGCCGGGCCTTGGCAACCCAGCGAATAGGGATGCAAGCGGGCCTGTCTGCAGGTGCTCACCACGCCACCGCATCACCTGCCTCCAGAATCTGCTTGCTCTGCAGGACCCGCCAACTCGTGGTTTGCTAATGGCCACCTCCTGTTAGGCTTTGCAGTAATAAACAACGAGAGACCTGCAGGAGCCTGCATGCCGGTCCGCCACTCCGGGCTTCGGCTGAGCAAGTTCGTTTTGTTTTTTTTTTTTCTAGCCGGAACAGTATTTTTCACTCATAAAATTGCAACATAAACAGTATTTCCAAATATGAACAGTGCAAAATTTCATCCTAGCCGAACACTTCCTCCGAGTATAGCAGTAGCACACGCATTCCCCAAACTGCTGATTTCCCAATTCAAATTCTCCAAACAATCACGCGTATCTTCGGCCCTGTTTGCTTCGCTGAAAAGCCAGACTGAAAAGTATTGTTCGTTGATTTGTTGTGAGAGAAAAATACTGTACCGTAGATGACAAGCCAAGCTGATAAGTTCAAGTGAACAGAGCCTCCCCTCATCGTACCCGACCCACGTCGCCACCCACCCATAGTACAGCTTTGTCCCGTCGCCACCGTGCCCCACCTCGTCCCCATCTAGCTTTCATTTTGACTTATAAATCGTATTTTTTTGGGCGACAAACGTGCTCGTCGTAAATTGACCTAATATTTTCCCCATCTTATCGTCGTCCCATCTAGCAGCAATATGGATTTCCTTGGTGTGCTGCTGTACGTGTATGAACGACTGTCTGCAAGAGCCGTTCCAGGGCATCAGGCTCTGCGGCGCCAGGAGGCCAAGTACACGGCCATGGACGACGAGAGGCGCAGCCACGCGGCGAGGCAAGACACGGCCTGACGGGCTCTAGCGGATACTTGCAGGCCGAATGCAATGCAGGGGCTAGCGGCGGATGCAGGTGGCCTGCTTAAGACTACCAGTTGTTGCAGACTTGGCCGCACAAGCCCACGTCATAGAAAGCAGGAACCCGCAGGAGCCGCTAAGCCTGTTTTTGCAGGCGGGCCTCCAGGCTTGCAGGTTAGCCCGCATCTGCTTGCATCCCTACCAGGGAAGCCCAAACCGAAGCCTCCCTGTAACCTCGGCCCAGAACCAGTCGGGTAAATATTTGGGCCAGCAAGAGTGAAAGTGAAACCAAAGGGAATTGGACCCTTTTCTCTCGTGTAGGCCCTCAGTCGTACTTGGGCTTGGGCCCGCGTCCCCTCCTGCTATCTGGTGGCGGCGACATCGCCATGACGCCATGGAGACGCAGCAAGAGCCAAAGCCAACAGGTGAGTCGTGCTTTGCTTTGGACCACAAGGACCGTCATGGCGCAAGGAGAGATCGGAATATCGGATACAATACAAGCTGCGGCGCAGCGTTGGAATGGCCCGCACGCCATCTCGCTCGGCCGATCCATCTCGACGTGCACCTATAATTCGTGAGAGACTTGTAAGCCTGTAAGGCTGTAACCCACACGGCTCCCATGCCCACGTTGCCCGCGCAGCTGGCCACGCGCTGCCGTTTTAATTTCTTCTCTTGCCGCTAGCTTCCTCTACCTCTTCCCGCCGCCGGCCGGCTGCCTAGCCAGTAGCCAGCGACGCGCGCCAGTAACCATGTTAGCCACTAACCAGCGACGCCGCGCCATGGCATTGCATGGACCATGGAGCCCTTGACATGTATGCATGCATTCTGTTGCGAGCTGCCGTTTCCGCCCGGGCCTCTTAGCTTCCTCTTAAGTCACTCCTGTTCAGGGCAACCTAACTGGGAGCCCTTGAGCGGATGACGCGGTGGCGTGCCGCACCCCGTCTCTGGCAAATCTTTGTTATCTCCACGCGAATGAATGATTAGTTGCTGGATCCGCTTCGTTCTATGACGCCACGCCAGTGAGACGGCGACTGATGACGAGCACACGCAGCGATATATATATATAATATCTGGAACAACAGGAAGAGGAACGTACAGAGTGTGTTTGGCAACTACTCCTGTACTGTACTGTACATGGGAAGGAAGGGGGCATGAGAATGTGAATTATTAGGCTAAAACGACATCGCCTTTCCAATACATACAGCTCGTAGCAAACCGTCATGGTTTGCGCGCATTATTATGACCTGAAAACGTAGAGAGTGTGTTTAGGTTTATGCTCGTTAAATATAAATAAATCTGTAACTAAGCTATACATGATTGAATGAGTATAAATTTTTTACTACAGTTCAATCATACAATAATTAGCCCACCATAAAAATTTCATCACAATTGGACCATAGAACTGTAGCTATGAATTATTCCAATTAATTACATAAGCCATAACAAAAATTTTGTACTAAAGCATACCATATTATATATTCACTGTGTAGATCTACTCACGTGGAGTCCAACAAAATTGGATTTTCCATTTTATGATTTTTCTGTGATTTACTATGATTTTTCAAAGATTCAGCCAAAAAAAAATAAAAAAGAAAAAGACAAAACTGTTTATAACAGGTCCAGGGAAGTAAAATGAACGGTTTTAAAAGTTGAAAGAGGTGTTTTACCTGGTTGTATAGTTCAGGGAGGAAAATCAGACTTTCGTGAAAGTTAAGTGAGGTAATGTGTGTTGGAAAACAATAACTCTAAGATAATTATGGGCTTATACCAAATATACCCCCAAAGGGTTAAGACTATATAAAGGAACCTGTACTTATCTATAATTAAGAAGATATAAGAGTTTCACGATATTTGCTCTCTTGTGTGTTCATCTGGTGTGCTGTTGGGAAGGGATACAGAAAATCATCTACAACTTCCTCACGTCTCATCTGCTGTGGGGAGAGAAGGGAATCGGATCAGGGATCTGCAACACCACTGTTACTTTGCGTTGATAATAATTCATTCATGGCTATACATACTATTTCATGCTTATTTACCGGAAGTTAATTTGCATGAATTAATAGGCAATGGCTTCGATCAACAATACGAAGTTCAAGGTTCTTGAGCTGAACGACAAGAACTATCAAACCTGGGCACTCGACTGTGAGTTCCATCTGAAGGCGATGTAGCTGACTCCCACGATCGCTAGGCCTGCAGCCGGTGTTCCTGCTTCGCCACCCCATGACAAGGCAAAAGCTTGCATCTTCCTGAGGCATCATATTCATCCTGACCTGAAGATGGAGTACTTGGAGGTGAAAGACCCTCTGGTACTATGGGTGAAGCTTCAGGAATGCTTTGGCAAGCAAAAGGTAGTGCTTCACCCATAGGCCAGGCTTGATTGGGCACAACTCCGCTTCCTCGACTTCAAGACAGCTGAGGCATATAATACTGCGATTCACCGTATTGTGGCTCAGCTTCGCTTTTGTGACCAAGTCATCACTGAACTCGAGATGATTGAGAAAACTCTCGAGACTTTCCACCCCACCAACATGGTACTCCAGGAGCAGTACCGTAGCAACAAGTACATGAAGTACTGTGATCTCATCGATGTGCTGCTTGCCGCCGAGGCTCAGAATGAACTCTTGATGAAGAACTTTCACATGTGCCCTACTGGGACACAGGCACATCCTGAAGCACATGCCAATTTCCGTAACAGCAACGGTAAAGGTTCTTTCAGAAACAAGGGCCAAAAGTTTCATGGTCACCAGGGGTAAAAAGGGGAAAATTTAAGAACAGAGGCCAGAAGTCCAATGGCAATGGCAAAGGCAAGTCCCTGAAGGGCTTAAAGGACGAGGCAAGTGGAGGGAAAGACTCAAATGAGAGTTGTTTCCGCTGTGGATCCCACTAGCATTGGTCCCGTGCTTGCACTACCGACCCACACTTGATTGAGCTATATCAAGAGTGGAAGAAGCGCCAAAACCCGAAGGTACACTTCGTCCAGGCATCTGTTGATGTCGTGATTGAACTACACCTCCCGGAGCCATCAGAGCCTACAGAGAAGCTTGAATCAGTAGCTATGGATGTTGATCATAATGCCACCGACGATCATACTGCTGAAAAAGGAGATGCCTATACTGGTGATGATGATTTTGACCTCAACAACGAGGATCTCCTTGACGAGGAGTAGACCAAGTTATCAGCCATTTGTTTATTTGTTAGCCAGTGTGATTTATTTTCAGCAAAACAATTAAAGTCCCGTGTGATGTAATAATGCTCCCATTGAGCAACTTCATTATTCTGTTAGGATAAACTCTCGGCTTGAATGGTTTGGTTCATTGCATTATTTTAATCAATTTATAGTGCCCCCATTGAGCAACTTTGGTCCTGTTCGTTTCTCTTATAATCCGTACTTTTTAGTTTATTTTTTCAGTCTGAACAGTGTTTTTCTCTCACAATAAATCAGTCGGAACAATATTTCGGCTTGTTTTTTCAGCGAAGCGAACAAGACCTTTATTATTTTTGTTAGCATTAACTCTCCACATGAATGTCTTGGTGCGTAGCATTATTTTAATCAGTTTATCACTTGTTCGGTTATGTGCTATTTTTTAATCAGCTTGCTATATTGATTATACATGACAGATTAAATTATTACTATATTTAATAGAACAAGAGTCGTACTTTTCATGGAGGCTGAAGAAGAATTTTGTCTGGTTGATAGTGTTGCCACAAATACAATACTTCTGAGACAAAATATTTTCAGACACTACAGAAAAAGACTGAAAAATATTACCACGATTGTTGGTCGCAACGGCCATATTGTAGGCTCCGGTCGAGCCGTGGTCGTACTCCCTAATAATACCAGCATCTTCATATAAGAAGCATTTTTGTACCCAGGAGCTGTACGTACTCTCCTCACATTCAATGATATACGCCATAGTGGCTACCATGTTACAACTGCTTGTGAAAATGGTGCTGAATACCTCTATATCACGACAGCAGACGAGTGTGGGACAAAAGTGGTAGAAAAAGCGCTGGGCACCTCCTCTAGAATTTACTACACAAAAATTAAGCCACCTCAATAATACGTTGCGATGTCTACTATATTTAAAAATCCTAAGTCTTTTACGATCTGGCATGAAAGACTAGGACACCCTAGATTAAGGATGATGCGGAACATCATAAAAGAATCTGGTGGTCATGGCATTAAAACCACACAAATTCCTAAAGACTTTCTATGCGTGTCTTGTGCTAAAGGAAAAATAATAACAAAACCCTCTTACCTAAAGTTAAATGTGGAGTCCCTAGGTTTTCTAGAGAGAATCCAAGGTAACATTTATGGTCCTATTCACCCCCTGTCGGGGCCTTTTAGATACTTTATGGTGCTTATAGATGCTTCTCGTTGGAGCCATGTATGCCTGTTGTCTACGCGGAACCATACTTTTGCAAAACTTATTGTCCAAATCATTCGATTGCGTGCTAGCTTCCCGGAGAACCGCATAAAAGCAATCAGGATGGATAATGTTGTAGAGTTCACCTCAAAAGCATTTAATGATTATTGTCTTGCTTTAGGCATAAATGTAGAGCATTCTGTGCCCCATGTGCACACACAAAACGGGCTGGCTGAATCTTTAATAAAAAGAATAAAATTAACCGCCAGACCGCTTCTACAAGATAGCATACTTCCAACCAGTTGTTCGGGACATGCAGTGCTGCACGCTGCTGCCTTAATTCAGTATAGGCCATCTGCATCTCACGCTGCTTCCCCCACCAATTAGCGCGTGGACAACAACCAATGATTTCCATCTACGAAAATTCGCCTGTGCCGTATATGTGCCAATATCACCACCCCAGCGTACAACTATGGGACCTCACCGAAAGTTGGGGATATATATAGGTTATGACTCTTCGTCCATAATCAAATATTTGGAGCCTAAAATCGGAGATCTGTTTACGGCTCGGTACGCTGATAGCATCTTCGATGAAGAGCATTTCCCGGCATTAGGGGGAGGATTGTACCTTAATAATAAAGAATTCTGAGAAATAGATTGGACTGCCAGCAACATTCAATCGCTTGATCCACGCACTAAAGATACTGAACTTGAGGTTCAAAGAATAATAAACCTGCAACAATTAGCGAATAATCTACCTAGCACGTTTACTGATATAATAAAAGGTCCTAATGGCTAGAGGGGGTGAATAGCCCATAAAAAATTCTACAACAACACTAAACAAAATGGTTAGACAATTACGAGATGAAGCAAATGTTGCGCTAGCCTACTAAAATGCAAGCCACCTACCACAATTCTAGTCTCTATGATCTCTAGGCACACAAAGGCTATATCACTACACTAAGTTAGTGAGCTCTTAATGACTAACTAAAGAGACTCACTAACCACTAGATACGACACAAGTTAGCTCTCAAAAGTAATTACACTAAAGAGCTTAGCTACACTATAAAAGTAAATACACAAGTGGTTGAGATGTTTATACCACCGTGTAGAGAGGTGTGCCAATCACAAGATGAAGCCAATCAATTACAATAGAGTCCCGGTGACAAGAGGTGACACAATGATTTTTCACCGAGGTTCACTTGCTTGCCGGCAAGCTACTCCCCGTTGTGGCGATACACTCACTTGGAGGTTCACGCGTAAATTGGCATCACACGTCAAACCCTCAATAGGGTGCCGCACAACCAACACAAGATGAGGATCACATAAGCCACGAGCAATCCACTAGAGTACCTTTTGGCTCTTCACCGGAGAAAGGTCAAGAACCCCTCACAATCACCACGATCGAAGCCAGAGACAAGCACCTTCCTTCGCTCGTGATCCTCGCTACACCAAGCCATCTAGGTAGCGGCAACCACCAAGAGTAACAAGCGAAATCTACAGCGAAACACGAATACCAAGTGCCTCTAGATGCAATCACCCAAGCAATGCACTTGGATTCACTCCCACTCTCACAAAGATGATCAATCTATGATGAAGATGAGTGGGAGGGCTTTGGCTAAGCTCACAAGGTTGCTATGTCAATGCAAATGGCCAAGAGAGTGAGCTTGAGCCAGCCATGGGACTTAAATAGAAACCCCCATGAAATAGTGTCATTGGGCTCTCATTGTAGCCCAACTCGGGGCGACCGGACGCACCGATCAGATGTGATCGGACGCATGCCTCATCGTCCGGTCATCCGATGCCATCCACGTGTCACACCCATTTCAAATGCTAGCCGCGCGATGCCAACGGCTAGTTGCCATTCTCGCGCGCTTTAAGTCACGATCAGACGCGTCGTTGCGCAGATCGGACGCGCCGGTGCCAAGTCAACCATGCGCGCGCGCCACTGCTACGCCGTGACCGGACGCTCTGCTGAGATGACCGGACACATCTACACCTGGAGTTTGGTCACTTCCAGAGAGGTTCAAGAGCGGTCAAATCATGACCGGACCCTTCACAACGTCCTGTGCAATACCCTAGGTTACACTGCCTTGGCCTCTACTGACCAAACTCACAAGCCTGCGTCCGGTCATTGAAAATCAGTGACAATCACCTCCTTTACTTCACTAACTTCTCCACCCCTGCTCAAATGTTCCAACCACCAAGTGTATCAACTTGTGTACGTGTGTTAGCAAATTTTCACAAACATTTTCAAGGTTGTTAGCACTCCACTAGATCTAAATGCATATACAATGAGTTAGAACATCTAGTGGCACTTTGATAACCGTATTTCGATACGAGTTTCACCCCTCTTAATAGTACGGCTATCGATCCTAAATGTGATCACACTCACTAAGTGTCTTGATCACCAAACCAAAAAGCTCCGATCAAATTTCATCTTTGCCTTGAGCTTTGTGTTTTTCTCTTTCTTCTTTTCCAAGTCCAAGCACTTGATCATCACCATGGTCACACCATCATCATGATCTTCATCATTGCTCCACCACTTGTAATTGTGCTACCTATCTCATGATCACTTTGATAAACTAGGTTAGCACTTAGGGTTTCATCAATTCACCAAAACTAAAGTAGAGCTTTCGTATAAGAGGAGTGTCAAAATTATATATTCCTACGGCTAATGCACTGGAGAGAGTGGAGATACCCCTGGAGGGCATGAATTCTACCCAAATCCCCAATCCTAGGAAAAGGGTGAGAGATCCGGATGACTCGGCACAAGCCAAGCGAGGACGCCCGCAAAGGCAAGTTGTTAGAGAGAACGCATTACACTCCCATTCAGTCGTCTCAGCAGTGACACATCCTGAAGGTGAAAGTCCTAGTGCAAATGTGTGCACAAATACAAATAATAGCACAAGGACAATGGAACAAACATGCTCGAGTAATTTGGGAAATCATGACAAGCTGGATGATTCAATTGAAGAAATTGCCATAAATTATGCTGAATCTGGAGAACTATATAACAAAAAGAATACAGATTTCGACATTTATTTTGTCTCTAAGGTCGCAGAAGCGATTAGTGAGGATCCTGAACCAAAGTCCATGGCAGAGTGCCGGAAGAGCTCAGATTGGGTCAAATGGAAAGAAGCAATAGAGACGGAATTGCGCTCGCTTTCTAAGAGGCAAGTATTTGGGCCTGACGCCCGCATGCCCCCCAAAGTATTCCCTGTAGGATACAAATGGGTGTTTGTTCAAAAGATAGATGAGAACAATGTGGTGGTGAGATACAAAGCGAGGCTCGTAGCACACGGGTTTACGCAGAGACCCGGCATAGATTTTGATGAAACATATTCTCCAGTTATGAGTGGCATAATGTTCTTATATGTAATATCTATGGTAGCAGGCTTAAACTTGAAAATGCAGATGATGGACGTAGTGACTGCATATCTATATGGGTCGCTAGATTCGGATATATATACGAAGTCCCAGATGGACTGAAAATTCCAGATTCTAAAACAAATCACAACATGTACAGTGTTAAGTTGCAGAGGGCACTGTACGTGCTTAAACAGTCTGGCCGGATATGGTACAATCGGCTAAGTGACTTACTCCTGAAGCAGGGATATGTTAATGATACCGATTCTCCCTATGTATTTATTAGAAAATCCTAGAAGGGTTTTTGTATTATTTCAGTGTACGTTGATGACTTAAATATCATAGGCTGTAAAGAAGACATTGAGGAAGCAAGCGCCTACCTCAAGGCGGAGTTTGAAATGAAAGACTTGGGAGGAACCAAGTTTTGCTT